GGAGTATCTGCCAAACCTGCGGACTGTCCGATGAATTATAGACCGACATCACTCAGACATACAAAGAACAACGTACACCTACCGGAACATTCTGCCAGAGCAACCAGAACGTTCCACCAATACAAATAGTTGTACAGAGACAGTACTAGCATGCAAAACAATTTTGTGGAGCACCCACTGCATCTTGAGGACTATCCGCTAGAACCACAAATCGTACCAGTAGGAGCAGATTTCTATAGAGTAGATACAGACTCAGTGGAACCTTCCGCCGATTAACCGGACTGTCTGTCACTATCGAAGCCAGCACAATGAGAATAGTAACTGCAGAGAAAACTTGGAATCCTCAGATCTTTGCAAACAAGCCGTTCTACTTCACCAAATCACGTACAGAGGTACTACTAGAGATGCTCTACTAGTCCCCAAGATGGTTTACTCCAAACTCTAACCAAATCATAGATAGGAGCAACCCTAAGTGCAAACAAAAGGGGGAGGGGAATCAAGTAAAAGGAGGGGAAAAAGGAATCAAATGTACCTTCTAGGCATGATGAAGAAGCACGTGGAAGCCCTGAACCATGAGCGGAATCACTCGAAGCATGTGTAGTGTGATGATGGCGGCATAGAGGACGACAGCAGCGGTAGTTGCTAAAAATGGAAATGAGATGACCTAATCAGTCACTGTGGGCCTATTTATAGGTCGTGAACTACCGGAGAGTCTGACAGTTGAAACGGACCATCCGCCAAGATGGATGAATGAAACCCTAAGTTAGCTGTCAACCCTTCAAAGTTATCGGACTGTCCGATGGGAGTATTGGACCGTCCGTCAATAGACAAAAGACACCCAGAGACATCGTTCCCCTAAACCCAAGGCCTCAACATTGAAAGATTGTTAGGATTATGACTAAGTACTAGTGATGAAAACCTGAGCTACACCGATCAATTGTTAGAATAAAGTAAGAGATGAGATGATACTTGGAAATCCTGGAGAGGAAAAATCACCGAGTTTCAATGCTACTGGAAGAGCCATCACAAGACTCCCAATCATCGAAAAGTTCCCCAAGTACCCTCGGACGAGCTCGAGGACAAGCTCTATTTTAAGGAGGTGAGGTTTTGTAACGACCCGAGTTCGTTGCATCATAGGCAGTCATTTTTTACCATCCGAGTGAGCGACCATTTGAGCTCTCGTACAGATCCCTGATGCCTTGAGCTAAGTCAACCATTGAGAAATCTATCAAATCACCCCGTGGAATGCACCCGGATAGCAATTATCATGCTCACACCCGAAGTGTTGGAGGAAACCACGATTGGATTGAGGAGACATCCTATTGACATCAGCAGCACCAACTCAACTTCAGGGAACACATTAAGATATGACAACTTAGTTCCCAAAACCAAGCCACTCGATGATAGAATCAATTTAGCAAAGACAGTGAAGTACCGGACAGTCCGCCAGCATTACCGAACCATCCGATGGAATTCAGATCAGCAGCAGAAAGTGGGAAATGAGTTGTTTGCCACTTAAGTGAGTTGGACCCTCATGTCATCATAAGTTAGGATATTTCATTAGCTAAAGCAACACCCTCTCACCCAATATCTCACACACCCATTCATTTACCACTCTCCCTCTCTCTCTACACCCCAAGAACAAGGATGAACCCTAGAACTAGAGAGAGAAAGGATTGGAGGGAAGATTGAAGAAGAAGAGGAGGAAGAGGAAGGAAGCACCAACACCACTCCATGAACACCATCAACATCTTTAATCTTATTCATGGTGAGCTCAAGAAGAGTAGCTCTCCTTTCTTGGATTTTCCACCAAATGCTTAAGTTTTGGTTTAGGTGAAGGATTGAAGGATTTCTTGCTGGTCGTTGTTCCATCATATGTAGAGAAGCTCATAAGTGACCAATCTTATGGATGAAGAAGCAAGAGTGAGGAAAGCTTGGATCTTCATGTTTTGGCTACAAAAGCTCTCAAATCTTAGAGCTAAGGATTTCATCTCTATCTCTAGGTTGCATCTTGATATCCTCATATCTCTAAGTTTGATCCTAAACCTATAGCTACACTTAGCAAACTGAGGTATAAATCTAGCTATCTTGAGCCTAGTGAGCCACCTAAGTTACCCTAGAAGGGTCTTGCACATGCACAAAGCACAGCCCATCACATGTAAGCTTGAACCCCAAGATCATCCAAGAAAATAGGTTATGTCGACAGCCTGACGGAGCATCTGTCAATCTGACAGAGTGTCTGCCAACCCCAGAAAGACACCCATCAAAGTATTATCTGCTGTCAACCTGAGTCAACGGAGTGTCTGCGGCTCCACCGGAGTGTCCATTGATTTATAAGAGTGTCTAACCAAAGAACCCGAGAGCACCAAGTTCTTAGCGGAGAGTCCGTGACCTCTCACGGAGTGTCTATTGATTTATAAACTCAGCAACCCAGAAAACCCAAGACCACCTAGTTCCTACCAGATTGTCCGTCACCTCCGAGGGAGTGTCTGTCAACCAAACCAGAGTCAAACCAGACCTAAGTCTCCTCGATGCCCAACCTGATGGAGTGTCCGCCACCTGGGTCCGAGCGTCCATCAAGTTAGCAGCAAGGATGAAGTTGTCTATATAGCTTACCCAAGAGGTCAACAATACTAGGTTAGGCTTAGTTGCAAATAGTGCAATAGTAGAGCCACAGTTAGATGTCTCTTCCCAAGTTCCAAAGCAAGCCTTTGCCTTCAAGTCCCCGTCGGTTATCCTTAATCCCGATCTTCTTCTTCTTTTAGGAACAGAGTAGCGTGAGGACGTGTTTGAGTTATCGTCTACAACCTCGAATTCGTTCGAGCGGCAAACCAGGCAGGCACCCCACTACTATGAACCCTATTTTGGATACTTATTGTGTTTCATTACGAGTTATGCATTTTATGTAGATTAGCTAATCAACTTAATGATGTTTCACTAAGTTAGAACTACTCACCTTTTAATTAGAGCCTTCGTTTGATCAATGGCTTGGTAACATTTAAATGCTTACTTGCTTAGTAATGGTAGAAGTCAAGTATGAGAAGGGAACTCATGCTGGCGCGTGTAGGAAGCTACACCAGGATAATTAACTACTAAAAGGAATGAGGGTTACAACTTATCTATCTTCCCTAATCTTGACTAAGGACTCAACATAATCTTGATGTGTGAACTTGATGATCAATTTGGTAATATCTTGCTCAGGCGAGGGGTAGGTCACTGTGAGTGTGGGATCTCAAGTGATGTAGCTCGTGGAGCAATTAAGGACTGAGCATTGGGATACGTGAGTCCGAGTAACCGCCGGTACAGACCACATGTCGCATATGGGGGCGACAAGCCTAGTAACTAATTGTGACCAATCTATCCGTGAGACTGGCAAGAAGGTGGTGCCGGTTAGCTGGTGGTAGCACTAACCTGGCACCAGCCGACCATTTCATGTGTTATTTGGGCCGATTTAGGGAAAGGTTAAAAATCGTGAGGCAACCCTTATTCCTGGATCCAGACTATGGTGGTTAGTCCCGTATTTCCGTATGGGTATAATTTGTACACCTCTGTAGAGTTTCGAAAGTCTAAAGTCCCTCGGGACGGAACCCTTTGGTTATTCCTACTTTCTATACCCATGGTAGTGTAATGATGAGACGTGATATGAAATGGTTTACAAATGTTGATCACTCTTTTGGATATCGTAACTCATTAATGTTAATACCTTTAATAATGAGATCATGAGCATGACATTTAAGAGACGCCATTGTTTTTCTTTAAATGTACAAATGCCTGATAATAGCCTTGCATCCACCAAATATTTATATGTTGGAATTAAGTTCTGCAAGTACGAAATATACACACGGTGCTTCCGTTAAGTTGTTTTGCAGGTGTTGTTGCCTTGGTGGACTTGAGGTAATGCTCTATTCACCGCTGCATGGTAGACCATGGATTGGGCGAATCCAAGATGAGCTACAAGTTAACTCCGATAAGTATTTCGAGTGATTTGCCAAAGAATTAAACCTAGAGGGAGAAACAAAAATTGTGTATACTCCGTGTATCATGTATTTTTCTGTAAATGTAATGATTTTGATAGTTGGACATGATGTTGGGCGTTATATGCGTTGGTTTGTCACTTGGGGTGTTTTGTGTCACTCGACTGTTAGAAAGATCCTGAGTCGCGACGGGTGCTATGTCAGTTGGGCCTGGCCGCGACACTGCCGGTTTGTGGCTTAAGCTGACAGTGATAGGGGTCTTCACTGTCGGTTCCTTAGGGCCCCGAATTATTTTTGGGTTTTCAAGTTATGAACTGTCAGTGAAGGGTTATCACTGCCTATTTGAGAGCAACCGGTAGTGATGGGTCCAGTTCTGTAGTAGTGTGTGCATCTTAGTTATGCAAATGGCTGAAAATGTTTCAAGATCCTTGTATCAACTTGATATAATGAACTTAAATATAATAAAGCTTGCCTTATCGAAAAAAAGAGAGGATACAACAGAGTATTCCATTGATAAAGAAGATAGAAGAAATTCTACTGGAATATCTGATTGGAATAGAGCAGGACATGAGAGTGAAATCGGATGAGCATGGCCTGAACTAAGCAACACATATCAAGTGGATAACATGCTTGAGATATAAGTTGGACAGACAAAACAAAAAGGTAGACCGGGCATTCAAAGACCCACGACCTCCAAACAGATGGCCGAGTACATACCAGAGACCGGATCGGCCTAACTTGTGGCCGGTTCTGGACGATTAAGCATGCACGTCATTAAAGCCTTCAAATGTTTGACCTGGAATTGGCATAGAATTAGAATCGTCGAAACGTGTTGGTCAATCAATGGACCTACCGCTTCTTGAAGAAACTCACTAACATATGTCTCGATCTGTTGTGCCGTTCACAAATCACACCACAACGTACGTCGCGCGCGCGGCGACGCAACGGTGGGCAGGGCAGGGGCAGCCGCAGCCCGCTGCATCTATATAGGCGAGGGTCTTGGTTAGTTTAGTGGTCATCTGCACCATGACGAGCGCGGAAACCCATATCCTCTGCCGCGTGCGATTCCCTCTTCTCCTCCTCCTCGTTTGCTCTTGGTGGCTCCTCCCCCAGTCCGATGCCAGGAGGATGCTGGCGGCGCAGGGGCTGCCCATCCGGGCTGTGAACCTCGGCGGCTGGCTCCTGACGGAGGGCTGGATATTGCCATCCCTCTTCGATGACATCCCCAACAAAGACCTACTGGTTGGTACAGTACCTTTCTTTCTGTAAACGCTTCCAATCGTGAATCTCATGGCGAAGGCGCGAAGCTCGATCGAGATCGCCGCCCTACCAAAGTCCACTGGCACTGCATAGACGACGATGTTAACTACTACTCCTACTCTTGCTGAATCCTGCAACTAACGTAATAACGTCCGCCTTCAAATAAATTGTACAGGATGGCACCCAGCTCCAGTTCAAGTCCGTAACACAGAACAGGTACCTCGTCGCTGACCAGGGCGGCGGCGCGGCCATCCTCGCCGACCGGGTCCAGGCGTCCGGCTGGGAGACCTTCAAGGTTGTTACCTATTAATTAGTTGGTGATTGGTCAGAAATGTGCATATGCAGCTGTGGAGGATTTAACCAAACGACGTACGCATGCTGCAGCTGTGGAGGATTAACGAGACGACGTTCAACTTGCGCGTGTTCGGCAACCAGTTCGTGGGCGTCAACAGCACCGGCGGAGTCGTGGCGACGGCCACCACGCCGGGGCCCTCGGAGACGTTCCAGCTCGTGCGCTGGGACAGCGACAAGAGCCGGGTGCGCATCAGGGCGCCCAATGGCCTCTTCTTGCAGGTAAGCACAGCTGCTGCCACTAGGATTTGGCATTCCATTGGCATGTGCAAGGACACCAAGTTGCCTGCACGCGGACATATGGCCAGCCTATAGTGGCGCGCATGGCTAGCTACCTTCCGCGAAGTCGCATGTATGCTGCCTGTATGCATTTTGGATTCGTGCGTTGACGGCGATTTGTGCCGGCCCATGGAGGTCAGAACTGGAGTCTAACAATCTGCGAGCGACTTGTTAGTGGTGTGAGCACGCTTAAATTAGCTTACGGTACAAATTATATCTTCATAAACATGATCTCAACCTAACTTTTCATTAGGGACGTACTTTGGTCTATTTCAAAATATTAAGACGCCCACATATTTCAAAATCCAAACCAAATCTGTAAACAACAATTGGTCGCATCACGTTTAATTTGGTATAAATTTTATTTCACACAAGTTATATAGTTGTTGGATTGACATTTATTAGAAACAATTCATAGTGTTATTAGAAGTTTGTTTTCAACAAAAGAATATCGCATAGGTGAAATTAAGTATCAAATTCTAGTTCCGGAGACAGTGATAAGAAAGACCACACCTTATTGGAATGGAAGGCGAGTATAGTAACCTAGTTAGCACAAAAAATAACTCTCTGTTAGTCTAAGTACGTAAGATCCAATTCGATTCAAACAAGTGGGCCAGTAGTGCCGTAGTGGCGTACTACTGCCCTGCTGATAATTAATGAGGACCAAAGTCAGAATTACTATACTTTGTCTAATATTCAAAGAAGCCAATATATAATGTTCAAAGCCAATAGTATATATTATCGCTGTCATGTTCATTTAAATTTTTCTAGTTGTATTTCAGTTTTTTTTTTCTCAAAATTCCAATATATGTAGGCCAAGACCATGGAATCGGTGACAGCAGACCACAACAAGGACACAGACTGGGGTGACGATGACCCATCAGTTTTTCTGACAAATAATGTGGGCGGCTTACAAGGGGAGTACCAGATATGCAATGGCTATGGCATAACAAAGGCGACACAAGTGCTCAGGGTAAGAAACAAATTAATCGGCGCGGTTCGTCGTCGTACATCAGTTTCCACCAGTTAGCTGCTGTACTTCTTCCGTTCCAAATTATAACACGTCGTGGCTTTTCCAAATATATTATTTTTGCTATTTCAGTACATATAGCAAAAATTAGAAAAGTTAAAACATCTTATAATTTAGAATGGAAGGACTAGTATTTTTACGATATGCTGAATGAAGAATAGTTCAGTAGAAAACAATGCAGAATAGTCGTGCATCATTTACCCAACCTATGTTAGTTAGTTCATTGCTGAGAATGACAGGTGGGGTAGTTTGCAGGTGTGAGAACATTTGCATGAATTATATTAATTGTTTCTACTATATTGATTAAATATAAATGTTTGTACTAGTTTAATTTAGTTTACAAACTAGAGATCCAATCTAAATCTCAAAACTATAGCTACTCCGATGCAAACGGGAAGTTAAGGCCTTGTTTTGTTTGACTTGTTCATTCGATATAATGTCGACCATGCATACTGGACAGCGAAGGACAACGACAGACTTCGTTGGCATGCATGGTCGAATTGTGCAATGATTTTAAGGAACCGCTGGCAGGGAGCCGGCACCTGCGCTTGCGGTATATATGTATACATAGCTTATATATTAATCTGATTGGCATGTGTGGAGTCCGATTGAATTGAACCTTTAGAAACTTTTTTTTTTATCGATTCTCAGCAGTAGCGAATAATCGTGTGCGCCTTGCTTCCAGGTCATCAGTTTATTTGACTCTTCTTGTTTGTTTGTTATTCCAGAATCACTGGAGCACATACATAAATGAGAGCGACTTTAGCTTCATCGCATCAAGCGGACTGAACGCGGTGAGAATCCCAGTTGGATGGTGGATTGCCAGTGACCCCTACCCTCCACTTCCTTTCGTTGGAGGATCTCTGCAGGCCTTGGATAACGCATTCAGCTGGGCAGAGTAAGTATATATACTACATGTAAGGATGGCAATGGGTAAATCCCCATCGGATATGGCCACCCCAGATCCATCCCCACCATAAAAATTTGGTATCGCCAGAATACCCATACCCGTCATGGGTGGGGAATTTTCCCCAGACCCATACCCGGCCGGGTAAATCATACCCGTCGGGTCACCCGTACCCGCCAATAATTTATTCACGCATATGAAAATCAACAATTCAACAGCAACCACCACTAACCAGAGCACATAAAATTAGACAAATAGTAGCATATAATAATATCTTCAGCAAATTAAGATTCCTTTTCGGCAGCGGGAGGCCAGGCGTCGTCGGCTCCAGAGTTCGGTCGACCAGGCAGGTCACGCGGGTGGGACCGTGGGAAATGGCAATTGGGATAGGGTTGGCAAACCTAGGGTTTTACATGAGCTAGTGGGCTTCTTCACTTTTTGGCTGGGTATTTTTCACCAATGGGTAAACGGGTACGGGGACTGCTGGAACATACCCATACCCGCGTACCCGATGGGTGAAGGGTTTGGTCCATTTACGTACCCGTGGGTAGTGTGTTTAGTCTATATTTAAACCCTAATGGAGTAAATACCCATCGGGTATCGGGTTGCGGGTCCCCGTTGCCATCTTTAACTACATGTTGAGATGTATATCATCATTCCATTCATTCGTGTCTCTCTAGAATTCAATCAATTGAACAATGCATGCATGCACAGGAAGTACAAGTTGGGTGTTATTGTGGACTTGCACGCTGCACCGGGGTCACAGAACCCGTATGAGCACAGCGCAACCAGAGACGGGTCGCAGGAGTGGGGCACCACCGATGCAAACATCGCTCAAACCGTGCAAGTCATCGATTTCCTCGCGGCAAGGTCGTACGTTTATCGGATTTCATCATAAAATAAAATCTAGCTAGTACGTACTAGCAAAATAACCCATTTTTACTTGCCGTTTTGTTGGTTACTATCGATCATTTAATTTGATGTACAGGTACGCGAGCAGCCCTAGCCTCCTGGCGATCGAGCTACTGAACGAGCCGTTGGCGCCGGGCGCGACCCTGTCCAGCCTGACCAAGTACTACCAGGACGGCTACAACGCCGTGCGGCGGCACACATCCGCGGCGTATGTGATCATGTCCAACAGGCTATCCGCAGACGCGACGGAGCTCCTCCAGTTCGCCGGAGGCTTCTCCGGCGCCGTCCTCGACGTGCACTACTACAACCTGTTTAGCAGCGTGTTCAACAGCCTCACGGTGGAGCAGAACATCGACTTCGTGAGGAACAACCGCTCCTCCGACCTCGCCGCCGTCACCAACCAGAATGGGCGCCCTCTCACGTTCGTGGGTACGTATGTAATAACGACCTCTTTGGTGGCACACTTCTTTGCAGTGGCACACATACGTCTCGTGTGGTTTTTTGTTTGATGTACGTAATTTGCTACTATTTACAGGGGAGTGGGTAGCCGAGTGGGACGTGCAAGGTGCGAATAAGACGGACTACCAGAGGTTTGCGCAAGTGCAGCAAGATGTTTACGGGCGAGCTACTTTTGGATGGGCTTATTGGACGCTCAAGAATGTCAATAACCATTGGAGTATGCAGTGGATGATCCAAAATGGATACATCTCACTCAAAACCTAGTGATATACACACCAACAATAGGTAAACTAAATACATAGCAACACAAAGACGAAAGTCGTAATGGGAAAATAAATTACGTACATGTCTCGAGTGGTTTCCGTTTGATGTATGGTATATATGTACTTAATGGGCAGTGGCACAAGTAGATGTAATGGGGGGAGCAACTCAAAGAGGAAAGTCGTCTTCTACGGGGCGGCCTGAGAATACTCAAATAAATTTATATGCTTGTTGTAGTTGATGGCTTTTCTCGCTACTTTTGGGTGTTTTTCATGGAAAGCAATGATGAGGATTTTCGCATGCTCGAGATTTGATTCTTCGGTTGCAAAATGAGTTTCCAAAACTTGCCATGAGAGCGATTCGCAATGGCAATGGCACAGAATTCAAGAATACTCAATTTGAGACCTTTTGCGCTTCTCTTTGGAGTCGAGCATCAGTTTTCTCCATATGTGCCTCGACAGAATTTTGTTGTTGAACACAAGAATCCGACCATTGTTGAGATGGCTAGGATTATGCTCAATGAGCATATGACTCCTAGTAGTATTGGGCCAAAGCGATCAACACAGCTTGCTATGTGTCAAACTGCATTTTTCTTCAAGCTTTCTTGAACAAGACTTCGTTTGAGTTGCAACTCGGACATCGCCCAAGGTGAGCCACTTTTGAGTTTTTGCCCCAGAACTCTGCTGGCATCTTCTTGGCCTTCATCATGCTCCTTGACAAGCCGTCGACCATCTGGTTCTGCTGTTCCACCATGTCGTTCTGCAATGGCGAGTATGGCACGGAGAGGTGTCACACCAATGTCGTGGTCGGCGCAATATTGGCCAAACTCCACCGAGGTGAACTCCCCACCTCGATATGTCCTTAGCATGTGTAACCTCTTGCCGGATTCCGCCTCCACCCGTGCCTTGAAGTGCTTGATCACAGCCGCCAACTCATCCTTGCTCGCCAGCAACTGTACCACATGAAACAGCTATAGTTGTCCACCAGTTGCAGGAAGTAGCGGTGCCCTCCATGCATCACCGAGGAGTCATAGGCCTGCAGAGATCACCGTGCACGAGCTCAAGGAGCTCACCAGCACGGTAGTTCACGTCTTCGGGAACGGTAGCCTCCTCTGCTTTCCTGCCAGGTAGTTGTCACATAGTTCGATAGTGTGCTTGATGAGCAGGGAGCCCATGCACCTGTCAACCCTCACCATCCTCCCAAACGCGTCGAAGCTTAGATGCCTGAAACGGGCATGCCACAACCACGGCTCCTAGTCCACCTCCGTCGCGAGGCACATCGGCTGTACAATGCGATGATTGAGGATGTGCAGTTGATTGCTTGATAGCTTCACCTTGGCGAGGAGGTGTCACTGTCGGCCATGGATCCGAAGCACGCCATTGTCAACGAGGACTTGGCATCCTCACTCGTCAAGTTGGCCGATGCTGACAATGTTTGACTGGAGCCACAAGATGAAGTAGACGTCCATTAGTGCACAGCGTTCACTATTTTGGCACTTGAACAACACTGTGTTGCACCCCGTAAGTCCACCGTGGATCCATCACCAAAATTCATGGTTCCAACCATGCCATAGTTGAGCTCAGCGAAGGCGTCTCGCTCGTCGGCCATGTGGTTGCTGGCGCCTGTATCCATTACCAGCGTCTCTCTCCATCACCGCTGCCCTTGCAACTGAGGTTGACTTGCGTGCGCGACATGTCGAGGAGGATCCCCTACTTCCTCTCAAGTGCCAAGCCCTACTCTATGACATCGTTGAGCGCGCACACTTGCGCCATGAGTAGCGTCGGCTCTTCGTCCTTTGCCTGAGCTGCGAGATGCGTGCACTCCTCACTAGTACATTGGAGATTTCTCTTGGCGCCATGCTTTATTCACTAGTGGATGGGAAAGAGGTGGCGCCAGTAAAGAGAAATGTGTGGGCCAGTACAAAAGGACCGCCTGTGTAAAAGCATTTACACTGGCTGTTCCTGTAATAAAATCGCCAGTGTTAATGGTCTATTTACACTGGCGGTTTGCATTACCCAACTGCCAGTGTAAAGGACATTTAGACTGGTGGCTTGCTTACGTAAATGGCCGGTGTAAATGAACATTTACACTGACGGTTCCATTATGTAAACCGCCAGTGATTATCATTTACAGTGGCGCTTTTTTTTGTCAACAGCCTATAAGACATCTCCTATAAATGCTGCTTCTTCCTCCCCCCACCAGCACTGTTCAGCCGAGCCATCTTCGGTTGGGATCAATGACTTCAGCGCGGTTGTACCACCACTAACTTTTATGGGTGGCCCTAGCAAGGTTATGGTTGACTTCGAGGACATTTGGTTGATGTTTGACCTCAGCAAACTCAACGTCCAGCTCGTGAGCGTGTGGTGCCTGTGAGTGTCGCTCGTACATAATTATGTTTTATTACTGATATAATGTTAGGGCATATGAAGTATCACCTGACAAAGTCAGACGCTTTACAGAATGCAACAAGCCGACCAGGACATGCGGTTTACTGAGGATCCATTTGTTCACCAGGGGAAAAAGGTTGGGTATCTCGACCCGGCCAGAATAAGCGAGAACGAGCACACAGTGGTTATGGGTCCTGATCACGACTTGTTTTTGGGCAAGACCAAGGCTAAAATAGCAAAAATTAGAGTGCAGGAGTAAGATAGGCAGGAAGTTGCGGTGGCCACCTACATAGGAAACGCGTTTCTTCGATACCAAGACAGGAGAATTATATTTGCACCATACATGTTCAAGTATGTGTTGGTCGTAAACTCCCTTAATAATTTTTATTTACAAAGTTCTTACTGTCTTAACACATGGCTTCATTGAATCCGTGCAGGACCATTGGGTCTATATATACATTTGGCTCTACGATGCACGGATTTTAGTCCTTGACTCCGCAGATTACCCACAGAGCGGTTATAAAAAAATCATCGATATTTTACAACAGTAAGTCAAGATTTGCATGCGTGCTTTTTCATATTTGTATACTATCTATGAGAGTTTGAATATGACATGTTGAATTCATTGGGCATACAAGTTCTATAAGTTCAAGGGTGGACGGTACGATTTAAAAAAGCCAGAAAACCGCTACATGTGCGGACTAACTTTAAGGTAAATTTAAATAGACATACATATTTGTCTTGTATATATGTATATGTAGCAACTATGTAACCGCTTGCCAATTCTTATATAGTGCCACAAGCAACCACCAGGATCGTTGCACTGTGGGTACTATGTGTGTGAGTTTCTCAGAGAAAACAGGAGATACACCAACAACTCTAGCAAAGTAAGTAATAGTCATATGTCATGTTTTGTCACTACTAATGCCTTCTCCGTATTTGTTAGTTGTAAATGTATGATGACTTATTATATTTTGCAGGTATACAAGTGTGATCCCACGAGTAGGTGCCTCCAGAATAAAGAGCTCATGAACATTTACGAGGACTTTAAACGGTTCATCATGAAAGAAATAATTCACTTTGATGGGAAATATTTTGATCCAGAGTCGGAAATAGCTCGACCACAGTACAGAGATCTTGTAGATATTGCCAGGCTAGAGCTAAACAACGATGATTATTATTAGAGGAGGATGTCATGGGACCGAGCTAGCTATGAGTGGAAGAAACTTTGTTTTATGTATACATTATTAGCGTGTGATGACCTTGGTAGACCACAACAAATATTGTTTTTTCATGCATGCAAATATAATTTTCTGTGATTTCTATTTGGATTCGTTTCAATTTGTATACAATAATTCCCTGGTGGGAAATATATGGCGGGAAATAAAAACAATTCACTGGTGGGAAATATATGACGCCTAATTTTGAATTTTTAAAAACAATTCATTAGCGGTTTTGCTAATAAACCGCCTCTAGAAAAATTATTCCACAAGCTACAGATTTAGGTCAACCGCCTGTGCTAAAATAGTTACACTATCGGCTAACTTAAACAAACCGCTGGTGCAAATACTTTAACACTAGCGGTTTATTTACATCAACCGCCTGTGTAAATATTATTATCACTAGCAGTTGCCTTAGAGGAACCGCCAGTACAAATGTGTTAACACTGGCGGATCTTAACTAACCGCCTGTAATATTTTAGTTTTCCACTGGCCTTTCACACTGGCGGTGGGTTCAGATGCCAGTAGAAATGCCTCTGGAACCGCCAGTGCTGAGCTCCAGTCTACTAGTGCCTTCTTCTTGGAATTCTTGCAAATCTCGGGCCTAATGACCTGTCTTCCCGCACCTACAACAAGTGTCCTTATCGAGTGGATGGGATGAGTCACTGTTGTTCGTCTTCTTCTTCTTTAGAGGCTTTGTTGGTATTTCTTACATCATGAATAGATCTACAAGCGTACAGATACCGTTGTAGCTTTCATCCGAGAGTATTCAAGGATATCAAATCCATAGGGAACGTGTGTACTCTTCTAGCTAGTTTTTTCAAGGACAACACAAGGATAAAGTTCGAAATGGTAGAGATGGATTCCTATAGCTTTAGGGTCTATGGAAAGATAAACTCTACTTTTTCTTGCTTACTTCGGGCACCGGATCACACCTGGTCGGCCAAGCAATCCAGGCCTGTAACTCTATGCCGAACCTAAACGTGGGGGCTTAAAAGGGATAGACAGGGATATCGCCACCTGCCGCCTACACCTTAACCATGTGGAACGAGACAAACAAAGGTAGCCTCTATCATAGACACCATGTCTACGCTATCGACTACAACTCTAGCGTCATACGTGGTTATCAGTCTTTATCAGGAGCCCTCTACTAGAGTATCCGCTACGAGAACAGACGATGAACCCAAAAGCAAATAAGAGTAAAGCTTAACTAATCAAGAGACTTGCTACCATAAGAGTCATGAACACTCACTTAGCGAAAGAATCCGTCGTGGTACAGACTAGGTGTTCATCAGGGTACATGCTAGGGAAGACTACTGACAATCCTATTATTTCCCCGTACTCTCCCTATCAACTCTAGCTAGCTATAGCCTAAGCCCTTGGAGTGGTCTTCTTG